TTAATTATCCGGTTCAGCAATTGACCCGGTGACCCGGCGGTTGAACCGGTGACCCGGTGACCCGAAGACCTGCCCGGGTCGATTACCGGGCCGGGTTTAAAAACTATGGTCCTACTCCCTCCACCGACGATGGCGTTCTCTAAAGAGGGTTTCGGGGTCGCCACAATCGGGGGGAGATGATTGGTTGGTTGCAGGGAATTTGAATTTTGCTTTGATTTTTTTAGGGTTTTGGATTGTGTGTAGATTAGTCATTACGTTGAAATTCGTAGACACTGGATTGGAGTATATGTACAATATATGTTTGGTATATGCGATACTCTTTTTGTTGTCGTTTTTTTTTATGTTACGTCTGGTATGTGCTATACCTTTTTGTTGTTTTTTTTTATTATTCAATGGTTTATTTCTGATATATGTTTGGTATATGCGATACCTTTTTGTTGTATTTTTTTTATGTTACGTTTGTAATGCAAGTGTGAGCGTCCTAGTCCGGTTTGGAGCGGATCGATCTTTGTCCTCGCCGATAGAACGCCGGAAACCTGCAAGTAACTCTCACACCGGGGGTTGTGTCTGGTGAAGAGCCTCCGATGCTTAAGTCAGTATGTGTATGAGTATACTGAAGTGAAGAATGAATAGAATGTGTTAAGGGAGAAAGGCTCACCCCTTTTATATAGGGGTGAGATACCTGCCCTAATAGCTGCCCGGATAAGGTGAGCTGGCTGCCCAAGCTGCCCGTCCGTACTCTGACACGCCGCGCACATGTCAGAGGTGGCGCGGGGCGTTGGGAGCTGTCAAAGGTGCTTATCGCTATCACCCAATATATTGTCGACACGTATCCCCCTTACACATGGGGTAAATATTCTTCTGAGATTCAGTTAGAGGCTCTCACGCGCACCCGCGACACACGCGCCTGTGACTAGGCCGATTGTGGGCTCCTCGAAGCGATCGACCTGCTGAGGTCGACTGGCTTGCTCGATCGCTTGTCTGATCGAGTGATGGAGTGCTCGATCATGTATTTGGTCGAGCGTTGGGTTGCTCGATCGCTTGCCTGGTCGTGCGATGGGTTGCTCGATTCTCGATCCTCCCGCCTCTTGGCCCGACTTCCTTGCGGTTTGATCTTCTCGACCGGCTCAACAGACCGGTTTAACTTTGCGTATATAATATCCTATATCAGTTTGGTAGATTTGTTTTAGTCATTTCTATCTTAAACCAAACAATATATTGTTGAAAACATTAAGATAAAATATATTGAACATAAACAAAAAAATATACTTATACTGCACATATAAAAATAAATTGTTGAACATAAACTAAACATGTTAAAACTATGCAATTTATTTCTATGAACAAATACCAAAATATACTGCACATATACATTCTCTGTGACGTGAAATACACTCCAAAATCGTGAGTGATTAGTGAAATATACATACTGAACATGAACCAAACAATATATTGTTGAACATAAACCCCAAATAAACTGAACATAAAGATAAAATATACTGAACACAAACCAAAAATATACTTGTATTGCACACATACAACTAAACTGCTGAACATAAACCAAAAATATTAAAAACTACATAATTTATTTCTATGAACAAATTATACTGCACATATACTCCCTGAACGTCTTTCACCTTTTAATAAAACGTGAAAGATATATTGTTAATAAAAATGTGAAAGATATATTGTTAATAAAACATGAAAGATATCTTTTAAAACTAGAAATATACTGTTAATAAACTAAAATAAACTAGAAATATTTATGATTGTCCTGTCTTTTTTTTTTCTTTATATAATTTCACGACCTCGTTTTTTTCGGGTAAATTTTACTTATATTTTCAGTATATTTCTGATAAAATATAACGTCCTCAATTATTCGAACACCAGCCTTCGAACACATCCCACGAGCGGAAAACCAAGCAATTCGTAGTTCGTCCGATCTCAGTCCACAATCAAGTCCTGTTTCCGGCGACGGTTTGCACGCTAGACCATTTCCCGACGAGTTTTAACCTTTTCGACACCCAATCGCAACGCGATCCTCAACCCCGGTCGATCTGCAAACCTCGACAGCCGGCGACCTTCGAGCTCTATTCGGCGACCTTCGAGGGGCCCCGACCTCTGATGGGTTGCGACCTTCGCAAGTCGACCGCTGCCCACCCCGTTGCCAGATGCCCTACGCGGGTGCGGGAAGAAGAAAATTGAAATGTCAGATTTGATTGTTGTGATAAAATCCTTTTTTTTTTAAAGAAATCTGCCGCAAACTGAGATTGTAACCCCTAGAATTATGGAATCTGTTGATCTCACACGTAACGGTTTTTTAGGCATGTGTATAATTACTTTTTATCCTTTAGGTATATACACTAAATTTCTTGTTTCAATGGTAAGTTTGCAATTACTTTAAAATCGGTAAGTAGAGATAAAAATTTCCCATATATAAACTAGGGAAAATTTTACACTTCCTGGACGATTTGGATTTATTTGCTGTTTTACGGCTAATACAATTTTAATTGCATATTTACCTAGAATCAGTTACTAAAATTAGGACGATAGAA